CAAATATCTAAAATTGCTATTTAAAAATAGTACTACTCAAAATTTATATCCATTAAAACTCATAGTGTAACATAACGTAGTATGAGTTTTAATGGTATAAAAATCCACAACGAGCGGTGAGATTTGTATACATATAAGAATCTCGCGGTTTATTAGCGGTCATACATAAATTACGTCACACGTTGAGAATTCGATAAAGTGTGACATAGGTTGACATAGTGTAACAAGAGGAGAAATGGATCCTAAATTTCGTGACATCACATCCCAAAATTTAACGAATAACTTAACAATCATTTTAACTTCATACAATAAGAAAACTTGTGACATACTAAGGAGAGACAGTCATGTGACAAGGCTGTCCTTGTCATAGTCGATCACATTTATGATCCTGTGACGGGACAAAAATTATAAAATTCATGTGACGTAACTTATATGTGACGGTCCGTTATGGAAAGTTCTTTAGTTCATATACAAATATACCATCACTGGGTTATTCCATTCTTCTGGGTTAGAAGAACCCAACCTGACCAACCTTAAATAAGTATAATTCTACACATATCACACAATTGTGATGAATGTCAACAATAATAATAATATGTTTACAGTAAATATTCAACGATGTAATCATTAATGTTGGAAAACGGCGAAGAAAAAAGACACATAGAAAATCTTCGTTGTATGTTACACTCTAAAAACAAATAAGAAATAAATAATATAAACAAATCAGTCGATATCATTTTAAATTTTGTCCATTATAAACAACTATTGTAATACAAATATTAGAAACTTGTTAGATATAAGTATAATATACTGGTATAAATAAAATAAAGAGCAATTATTCATCGTTGAAATATACAAAGAGTTTTTTGTAGAATTCATATTGCGTACATTTGATGCAAACTTAAAGGAATATTATTATTACCTAATTGTGTATGAAAATACTTGAAGTCTTACATTAATGTGTATTTGCAAAACATTTGCATTTTAAGAAAATATTTTCACGTTTAAAAATATGTAACTCTTAAAACATTGACCACGAATAAAACTAATGTTTAGATAAAACCTGTGTATTCAAACATTTATACAATAAAATATTTATTATTATATAATAAAGGAAATATTCATTTTAATAATGCATCAGATATACGCAAGATTAACCGAACGATTTATATCAAACTTACATTTACCTTATGTTAGAAAACTACCTAACAATGATTACATATTTAGCTAAAAATAACTATATAATTAATGCTAACATTAAACCCCAATTCATATTTAAATGAACCTTATAAAAACAGAATTATTTATAATACAGTCTTAATTTTCATTACATATTAAAAATTTTACTATTGAATTCCAAAAAATATAAAGTTAATAATTTCCGTTTATATAATTCATTATCGTTATATATATATAAATAAGAACTTATCTACTTTACTTGAATATCTAAATATTTATCTAATCTAAATCGATTTGTTTGTTGATTAATGTATAAAATAGTGTTTAATATTAACATAGATAATTCAATTTGTAAGCGGTACATTAAAAAAAAGATATATGGCAGTGGCTTAAAATTAAAACGTTTAAAGGTAATAAGCGTATTTTTCTCATCACAATGAGAACGAACAACCGAATATTTTACAATTAATAATTACGAATTTATGGACAAAATATTAAACAACTAAATTGCAAACCTCCCCTGTCAACTTTATAATTAAGACAGATTATATTCCCCTCCAATTGATACCCTGTCTCATAAAAAAGAGTACTCATTGCGACGGCTTATATACCAACCCTTGGTGCCCTCAGGATAAAGTCGTATCCGTCTGACAGGATTTAGCCATATAGCCATCCACAAGTTTCCGCGGGTTTGGTAGTGACCTTTGCACTCATCCTGCTAAAAATGTGAGAACCAACTTTCGCCAATATCATTAGAAGTGCGATAAAAATAATATTTAATACATTGTTATAAAAATTACAAGAAATAAATAAAATATAATGTGTCATGTAATCTCAATATTTCAGGTAGGGAATGTGTACAGTGGGAGGTCTGCGTTAATGAAATAATAAAGTTACAGCCATTGTAGAGAAATAAATAAAAATCAAGAACAGCACATGACTTACTCGCTAACTCGAAACTCTAAAAAAAATATAGTGAACTTATTTGGCAGCTCATTTTATATATTTCCAAATAGGGCTGATCATTATCAACTGCACCGTATATGATTTCAAATGAAATATAGACCATAATAATATTACGTTTAGTTGATATTGCAATGATAGCTGTAATAAAAAACTGTTTTCATAGTAACAGCGGTCAAAATTACAAATCATTACGGATTGTTATAAAAATGTTTTGCCGCGCCATATGGCTACTTAGGGCCTTGAGTCTTGTAAAATATAATTATCTAATTAAAATATAACATGCATTAGTTTGATTTTGAGACAACAATAAAGCTTAAAAGTTCATTAAAAATACATTATACACAGACATACAGACTAATGTAACGTTTAGTATGTTATAAATATTATGAGATACATTATAGACGACCGACATCGCTTCGTCGCTGAGCATTATTTTGTTAATACTATAAAAATACCTATAATTCTGTCCCCATGATTGGCCCTCACTTTCTGAACATTAAAATAACTTTACAAACATTCATTTATAAGTATTTAATCGTAAAGATGGCAGTTCATTAAAGATATTTTACATAATGATTTTCAATAAAACATCACCTAAATTATTATATAAATACTTCACGCAATTCCCGTAGTATTTAATATTTGTGAATGCAATATTAGAATTTAGAACAAAATAATTATTAAATAATTAGAATCTAGTTATTTTGCCATTGAAAATCATAATAATATATATATGTATCCAAACAACACTTTTTATTAATAGAACCTAGAATATTATTTCAAACTTTTGTGTTATTAGTTTACACAAATCACAATTTATAATATTGTGTTCTTTATAGTACAAGTAAAAAATTTTACTACTTGCACAGTACAAATCTATGGCAGTGTGACAAATTTATTATGCTGATTATATTTAAAAAATAAAATAATATGGTTCTATAAACCATACAAATGTTAAAACATGTCATCATAAATATCTACTGTGCTTGTTATTGGAAGGTACCTTTTGCTATATAGATATATTAATTTCATTATTATTCAAAATACAATTTGTAATTCCGTATAAATTTGACAGTGCCGTTACATTTGTTATACATTTTAAATTCTGTTTAGAAGTTGTCTCTCGCTATACATTTCATTCCTACATAAAATAGGAATTGTTCGAATTTTAATTATGTTTTTTACTTTACAACCTGTATTTTATTAAGTTTTTTAATAAAAAAATTATTGTTAGTATCCAAATGTAATAGTTTTGACCTATCAACATCTAACAGGACATTAAGTAGAAAGAGTGATGTATTTTCTTACCTCCTTCTTTCCACTTATCGTCCTAAAAACGAGACAAGGTATAGAACACTTTCAAGGAACTAAATTGACCGATACTTTTATTTTATATCTATGTTTTTTTAACGAAACCCCAAAACAGAATGTAAAGTTAACCTGATTACGGCATTGTTTAGAAGACAAATTGTATTTTAGAGCAATCTCGGAGCTGGCAAATCACAAAAACAATTGAATTTGAATATTCCTGAGTATTTTTTTTTCCCGAATTACTCTTAATATTATTGGCCACAGCTGGCCTTTAGAGCTTCACCAGACTACTGAATGCTTTTTCCTGAGTACGTATTTTGAATACAATATTAATCATTCATAACTATTTATTATTGAATTATGTAACCATAAACCTTTAATAAGTTTATGGTCATATCATGATTATAATACATTTAAAAATTTAAATATGATTTTAAAAAATACCATGTAAAAACTAGCACACTCAGAGAATAAATATGACTGTCAGGGACCATAGCTAAAATTTCGCGATTTAATACTAAAATTGAAATATGATGTCACAAATCTAAGACTTAGGTTCACGATACTTTTTAATGTGTTTAGTTGGTGATTCCTTCAAGCCCTTATTAAACAATGTCACACTTTTATGACGTCTTGATCCTCTGACATGTGACAATTTGTGAACGGTAATATTGGAATAGAAAAAAACATGAAATTATGTTTTAAAATAGAAATAATCTTTATTAATATAATCACTTTTGGATAGTCGTTATATTTTGATTCTACCACTCATTCGGATCACAAGAAGAATGAGCAAGAAACTTGCTAGTTGCTCTCTTGTTAAGGACAAAAAAGATACAATAGCAATACTCTAAGAGATATTCAAATTAATTTGTGTTTGAATTTAACAGCTCTGGTTATATACTGTGACAGCATTCGTACAAATACCTAACGCTAAAACAAAAGAACACCAACATTAATGGTTCACGCTAGAAGATTTTCTCACTAACTCCCACCTTGTACCACGTAAACGTAAAACCGTTTATACATTTAAATCTAAACAAATAAATTCAATAACGTCACATGGACTAGCCACTTCGATCTCACACACACATTTAGAAAATTGTGATAGCACATAATTGTTTGTAAAAGTTTAGTTTGTTGTAATTTCGACCTTAGATCCACCACTCATGTCACAAAATCAGCCAGCTACGTAGCGGTTCAGCAATGGTTATACGCTCAACATTTACGGCAGTATTGGTTTTGTATAATTTACAAATTTTGTAGTTAATTTAAAGTAAATTTAAAGTTAAAAACATTATTTTCTGTTCCATAACATGCTCTGCGGTATTGGTTTTGCGTATTTTACATACCCGCGTTTTCGTCCGCGTAGATTATTGATCTTGACCAAATAATACAAAAAAAAATATAATCTAACCCAGTAAAAGCCGAATAAAAAAGTTTCATCCTTCTAGCTTCAAAAATGACGAATTTACATACAGAATTCCATAACTAAAAATTCCCGAAATAAAATGTATTTTTAAGGCTGATTGATGATTGATCAGTCTTAAAGATAAGTTTCAAGTTTCTAACTTTGAAAATCGTCATTGTTAAAAATAAAATTGATTTTTTTTTTAAATATTATTCATGTCAGATAGGTTATCTGAAAGGTTACAAACAAAAAGGGGTTTATTGCTTTGAGAAAAATTGAGCGTATAACAATTGCATAATTGTCCCCCGTACGTTTAGGATCATTAATCGGCGCTAGAACAGAGTCCCAAACCTGGAGGGAGTGGGCCTTTGTCATTCCTGCGGGCAACTCTGTACAAAAGAGGCCGGAAAGAGTCCGGTGCGGCCAGTTCTTTGAAGCGTGCCCTTGTACCAGCCATCGCCACGCTTCTTCGATACTATCACGATATCGTCCACTTTTAATTCGAGTTCGTATTCCGAGTTTGGTGGGTAGGGAACGATGCACCGAAATCTGTGGAAACATGCATTATTGTTATTATCGAGTATCGACTAATATAACAATAAACATCATGGGTTAAAACGGTGTAGTGCCATGGTTACCACTGGAATACCCACGTATTACACAGTATACAAAGCAAGCTGCTTGGCGGCAGAAACAGGTGAGATAGTAATACAGTGGGTATCGCCTGTTTCTGCCGCCAAGCAGTTTGCTTTGTATGCTGTGTTTTGGCTGTGTAATATATGAATTTATAATAATAGTATAAAATGAAGTCGCTTCCACTGTCTGTTCGCTTAGATCTTTTAAACTACGCAACGGAATTTAATACAATCTTTAGCAATAGTGACTGTAGCAGTCACTCAAGAGAAAGGTTTATATGTGTAATACATGTCCATCAGTGTGAAGCTGGGGCGGGTAGGTACTTTATAATAAATCCCAGTGGTCGAATTTCAACCATAATTAATTTAACATCCAGTAAGACTACAAATGATTATGATGATTAAAGACAAACAATATTAATCTATTCTCAATAACAATAAACAAAAGAGTATATATGCGTGCGTGGGTCAAATATATGATAGTGTGTGTCATGTTTTTTTTTATTGTTTTAATGATTTTTTACGCGTAATTAAATAAATATATTAGTATTCTGCATACCCTCTCTATATAAACAATAAGTGTGCAATTTTTCATACTCCTACGTCCGTACAATTTTTGTAAAAAGGGATACAAAGTTTTTGCTTGACGTATATATAGATTACTTAAATCGTAATGGTTTCTTGAATGAGACGGATGTTTCAAATAAGACGTCAACCACTACAAGACATAAAAGGTGGACACTTCAAGCTTAAAATAAGTAATCACCTCTCTTTCACTAGCTGCGAGTGATGACGGTCACGCTCACGGTCACGTCGCGTCGCCGTCACGTCGAGTGATTGCGACTTGCGATGTTGCGACTGCCATGGACCATCGCTCGCACTGCAACATACAACATTCATAAAGTAAATGTGAATTGGACTCTCTTCTCCGCAATCATCTGGGCCGTTGTTACTAAAGTAGCCAGCCGAAGTTACTCAAGTAGCCAACCAAGCTCCTCCCAGAAGCGCAGAATTCTCCTGGTGTTTTCAGAGGCTTCACGGAGCGACCTCACTATTCCTAGGATTTGAGCTCGTTGTGTAGCTACGCACTCCAGGATTACGGGAGCGGCAATTAATATGTACCTTCACGACTATTACCTCACATGGAATAGTCAGAGGCATTGTCACACACAAGCCACGCTAGTAATTGTCCCACTGCTCGAGCTTTGCTTTCTCTGGAACTCATTTTTGGGTAAGGTCCAAGCCTGACGTCTACACAAAAACCTTGCCTTATTTAATAAATAAATTTTGAATATACCTGTCTTTATATAGCTAATAGTTTTAAGGTATAAACGTGTTGGCAATTAGTTCTAAGTTTATATTGTATTCATATATGAAATAAATAAATACATAAACGTCGTGGTGACAGCAATACTTGACATGCCTACATTTCGCTCAGTATATTTGAAGGAGGAGACAGCGCTTAATGTTATATCTTATATTTATTTTTGTTTATTAGCACTGCTTTCATCACTCTAGAGTCATTCAGAAATGTTATAAATTGACATACAAAGCTTTGTAGAGTTCGACTTATTCTAACTGATGACCTTTACGTGGGGTATATAGGATCTAAATATAAATAAAATTTGTTTAACTTTAAGTTGCATGCATTCATAACATTTTATAAAGTCATCCCTTTATTCATAAAAAGGCTAGTCTTCTAAACCTGTTTTAACTATTGAAGTGTCATTGCTGTCTTACCCAATATTTTCTTCTTAAATTCATTAAAGTTATTAAACACTGTAATAGTCAAAATAGGTTTTTAGGTTATAGTTTCTTTATTAATTAAGGAGTATATGTTAATAATAATTAATATATTATGTATATGTATAACTAAAAAATAAATACAAACATAATACAAGTGACTATGCTACATACACATACAATACATATATGCGGTTTCACATAAATTCAAACCAAAACAGTGATTGAATGCTAAATTAATGACACAAATCATTCACACAGAATAATAGTTCTGCTTTAAAAACATGTTGTTTATTCATCTGTAACTTAATTGTATATCCATCTGTCTGTACAATTTTAGCTACTAAATCTTATGTAAATGATTTGTAAATATAGCGTAGCTGTGATACAGAATGGGGAAACAAACAAGCAAATCAAACATAATTATATAGAAATAAAACGTATACTTACAAATTTTCAGAAGTATATAATGATGTACATTTGTTTATAATTCGGCAAATAGGCAGTAGATAATGTCAGGATTGCAAACTCGTTCGATAATTACGGGAGCGTACAATAATTTACATTTTTTTTTACATTTCTAAATACGATACTTTTATCATCAAAACGATAACGGGTAACACTGAGCTGTGTGGTGTGGGGTGTATTTACCCCAGACGGTGGTAACACTGAGGCTTGTTGGGTGCGGTGTACCCACCACAGATGGTGGTAACACTGAGCTGTGTGGTGTGATGTGTACTCATCGCAGACAGTGGTAACACTGAGGTGTGTTGGGTGGGGTGTACTCACCGCAGACGGTGGTAACACTGAGGTGTGTTGAGTGGGGTGTACTCAGCGCAGACAGTGATAACACTGAGGTGTGTTGTGTGGGGTGTACTCACCGCAGATGGTGGTAGCACTGAGCTGTGTTGTGTGGGGTGTACTCACTGCAGATGGTGGTAACACTGAGGTGTGTTGTGTGGGGTGTACTCACCGTAGATGGTGGTGATGGTCGTGGAGGACGGCGGCCAGCGCGGGCCTCTCCTTGTGCCGCAGCCGCTCGCTGGCCGGCAGCGCGCGCAGCAGCTGCGACGGGCACGAGCCCGACCTGCGCCACCACCACCGGTCACCATCGACAAGTCCACACGCTTTTTTATTACGTTTATTTAAAGAAAAGTACTAGCTGTGTAGACTTGTAGATAAACCGTTTGGCACACAGACGTAGATTTTAAGACGCCCCAACTGTATTTATTTTGCATATGTATATATTATACTAAGAGCAAAAACTATTAACTTATGCACTTAAAAAAAATTGAAGATCTATTTTCAAAAATCGTCTAATGTTTTGTTTGAGTGTTAGACTTTATGAATAACGGAACTGTATTTAATAGATAAATATTTGATTTATTTTGTTACTCAAGTAGCTTTAAATACGGAATTATGAACAATATTTATATAAAGAGCAACAAGTTTCTTGTTCGTTCTTCTTGTGATTAGCCTGCTTTCTGAATGACCGGTAGAATGAAAAAATATTATATTAACTGACTATTTAAAGTATAAAGTTAATTTTTTAATAACATATTTTACACTATTAGTATTAACATAGGATAGAATTTAACCATTTTGGAATATTTAAATAGATTAATTAAATAATAAGTTTTTACTTGATTGTAAAAATAAGTATGTTTTGTACTGCATATGGTTAAAGAATATGTTAAAGGTTGACTTTATTAACAATTTATGCTTTTATAAAGTAGCTTACATTTAACAGATATAAATAAATCACACTAAACAACTCTTGTATATTATAAAATTAAAAAGTTATGTCATAGACAAAATAGTTCACAAATACAGCTCAGTTTTCATACACACTGGAGTAGTTGAGGCGTCTAAATTTATCACGTCTGTAGTTTGGTAGTTAACAAGTGAGAGACAAACACATCGCAAAACATGGTGATGAGTGCTGTTAACCCGGTTAGCGATATATCAGGGTACTGTGATATTAAGATCTTCCTATTCTCAGATAAATCATGGTACATGTTGTGAAATAACAGTTAACTTTTAAATATATAATAATGACTCTGTTTATTTATATTATAAAAAATATTTTTAAGTTTATTTAAGATCACTGCCTAACTACATCCTACCAGAGTTACCTACTATAAACTCAAATTCAAATACAAAATAATTTATTAACAAAGAACATTTAGGCCCCTTTTGCATGTCATCTTTTATCACTTTCCCTACCTTCCAGTTCGGCTAGCTAGTTCAGTCAGAACTGGCATTAAACTCAACTGGTAAAACTCAACTAAAAAAGTTTTATGTCATTATTATTATCTTTAGTCAGTTATACTACATACCTGCGAAAAATACCTACTAAAAGTTCAGTTGATTATCTCTTTATGGGTTATTTATATTATTTCAAGCACAAGTACCATTTTTCAATCAGTTAATCCAACGGGAAAACATGAAACATGTACACGGCAGTAACTAGTTTCTCCAATAAAGGCCTACGAGTCTAGTGTAGAACTACAGTAAAAATAAAAATGTAAATGTGAATCAAGAATAAATATTATTATAATATATTATATATCAGTTACCCATTAAAATATTTAAGTACAATGTCTATAAAAAAAAACTAACATAGCCTATTTAAATGTAATTAAGGTATATTACAATTTTTTTGGATTTGTATATATCTTAGAGATAAAAAGACTCATTTTTCTTTAAACACTCCAATAATTACAATAATACTTTTAACACCTGATATAACGCTTATATAGTAAACATGTTAAACACACAAACACATGCGCATACACACAGACCTAGTCACAAACATTATACATACACGTTTTAGGACTTGTGCAGGACAAAAATGTTACCTTTACTATACTGTGTTGGATTCTGTAATATATTTCTCTAAATCTATCTCTAAAACTCATTAACTTTATGTTTGCACCTATCACTTATAAGCGGTAAAATAGGTAATAACACATTTAAAATTAATATTTTTAATCTTTAGCGATATTTTTTATCTTTACTTTCTCTAGAAGTATAAATATAGATACCTAAAGCTAGTCTGAAAGTGATTGCTTAGCTTACCTTTTGTAACAGTTAATGCGTAAATATGCATTGTATTTCAATTATTTGCTGTATTTTGTGCAATAATTAAATATTTTATTCTGTATACTCTATAAATAAAAAATATATAATATACATGATCGATATTGTTACTTCTATGTCTTGCTTATTGTTTTTATATATAATTTTAAACATATAAGATTATGTATTATTTTATATTTATTATAATATAATTATTACAATATAATAGAATCATTATAACCATATCAATCTCATTTGTCAATTGCAATTTTTTTTTATAATAAACTTAATTTACAAAATTTTAACTATTTATACACCTAAATCTTCCTCAGAAATTGATATATGAAAAGCGCATGAAAATCCGTTCAGTACTTTTTGAGAATATCGTGAACATAACTAACAGCCGAGGTAGAGAATATATATATAGATATAAAAATATATATATATTATCATGTTTCAAGTAATATTTATTATATTTTCCCGCTTGTAATTCGTAGGATTAGGTCATTTAGCGAAATTTGTAGCAACAAGGTTTCACTATGACATACCAATTTTTTTATTACCCTGTATAACATTTATACTATATGTATATTGGTGTAAATATCCAAGTACATCCTTCTCATTCCTACCTGACATGTACAGGGTGATGCTGCGCAGCCAAGTTGAGCATGAGCGAAGTGCCCGGCCCGTCTTCAAACACAGGATTATCCATGCTGTAACCGACTGGTGGGGGAGATTTACACTTCTTCATAGCAGCCAATCGCTTCATTAGACTAACGCCGGTGGATATAGATGACTTTTCTGCTTTTGATTTTTCTTTTGACTGCGAAATGGGGAAGGATATGTTAGAATAGCTTCTTGTTAGTTCTGAATCGAAGTAGCTAGGTGAACTAAACGGTGAATTAAAATTGTGATAAAAAGTTATGAAGTTTGTATATGAATATATGTATATAACGTTTCATTTGACTGGATATTAAATATATTTTATACCTATCTTCACATGTCTTTGTAGAAAATAACAATAGAAATATTTTTTGTGTTGAACAATTTTTTTTAGCACAGACGGCATTACCGTGTGTACTGACTTGACTAAAGTACCATGCCTGTATAACTCATTAATATTAATGCCATATCTCAAACCGGAACACTGCTTACAAAACTAACTGCCTGAAGCTAAAACAGAGGTACCTACTACATACTGTACCTTAACGAAATAAGGGTTAAAATATCAATCATAAACCTTTAGAAATGTATAAAATGTTACCTTTTCAGATCTAGGAGTGATTTGTTGTTGCTGAGACTGCGGACTCCACTGATACGTTAGTGGTTGCGCTGTAATGTAATAAAAAAAATATTAAAATAATACCAGAATACTTTCACGACAGTGACCACAAATGGTATGGTCAACTGTCACGTGGCGAACACATCTGACATGCCTTTATCTTACTGTTTCAATGTTTGTTCATAAACATTGTACTTTACAAAACTATTTTATGACGCTTTTATTTTATGATTATTACAATTTCATATTACTTCAAGCATGTCCGACAGCCATGCTAAGAATACAGACTACCATCAGAATACAGATTATACAAGACCTGGAAGTGTATAGCAAATAAAAAAATATTTATTACACTGTTGTGACGTGACAAAGAACGTCAAACGTTCGAATTAGTGACTGTCAAAGGGAACATCAAGTTCCGGATTTTTCTACATCATAATATGGAAGAGGACACTGACATCTGAAACACAGGTATTATCTATACCTACCTCAGAAGACAGGGGCTTCATAAAATTATTTGTACAAAATATGTGAAATAAATAAATACACACATATATGTATTAAATTGAATGATATTCTAAATGAAAAATATATTCCCAATAACATGCAATTTAACTGTTATAATATCTTATATAAAAACGAAAAGAAAATATATGTATATTAATGAGCAAATATATAATAAATAGGAAAAAAAACAAGTAAAACAAGAAAAAACGGCGGCCTCAAATTGCTTTGAGGCCGCCTTTTGTTTGCATATTTTTCTTTTTTTTTCTATTTGTAATTATTTGGTTTTTTTGTGCACAATAAAAATTATTATTATTATTATAAAACATAGTGCCGACGCCAAATAATGCATAATGAATATACTAAGTATGAACTAAGAGTTAAGTTGTATTCGTTACACTCAATAAATATTTGTACGCTTTATATAAGCAGATTCTGTAAGGGTCATGTCTTCATTAACATCTAGTACTGTACCCAAAATCGTTCACAAATAAATCAATTATTAATATTTTATTATTATACAATGACATTGATGAGTGAAATGAAATGAAAATTAGTAGTATTATAGCAAACAAAAGCAACTGTATATAGAATAGTACTAATATTATAGATAATAAATAGATGCACGAGTTGCAATAGATAAGGTTATTAACAATACAAAATTGAGCGATATATATTCATGACAAAAAACTCATTTTTTAATTTTTGTAACTTATATATTAACTATGGTTTGTTAACATGTCAACGAAAGTGCCAGCAACATGCACATATTAGTGCTAGATTTCGGATTAGTTCATCCTTCATCAGGAAAAATATCTTTAAAAATTCTGAATGAGTTCATAATATTAGCAACGGTTAATTGAGACATCGTATTTGAGCAACTCTTTCTCCTTACCAAAACCCTTGTCTTTAACGTACTTATTGAGTTATTATATTTTAATTGGTGAAATACAAAAAGTTTTACAAAACCTATATCTTTAACTTAGGTTTTTTATATGAAATATAATTCCAACCTATCATAGAATCACAATAAATCATAGAAATATTCTTAGTGAGTTTGTTTACTGGTTTAAAATAACACTACGAATAATAACTCAACCACCACCACAGCAAGCGATTAAAGTTCAAAGACAATATCGTCAACAAGTTAAGTATTCTTATGCAACAGTTAGAAGACGCTGGAATGGTAACACTTGAGGCCACTAGTGTTATATAAGGAACATCCATGTAAATATAATTGTATATATATATACCATCTGGTGGGTCATCAGCTCATTTACCATTCCATTTATAAGGTAAAAGATGTATCTGTATGTAGGTGTGTACCGTGTAGGGACTGGCCGAGCGTGAGGGGGCTGGGGGCGCGGGGCGGCGCGGCGGGCGGGGGCCCGGCCGGCGACTGCTTGCTCCCCGCGGACCCTACTCCGCTCTGCACACACAACGGACTCCGTTTACTCACCCACACACGCATCATCTCATGCGCCATTCCAATACATTCGTTTCATTATTCGTCTCATTCTGCATTGCTCGATTCTATACCATACTGATTTTTTTAATATAAACAATTCGTATGTCATTTTCTATTCTAAATTGAACATTATTGTTTTAAATTATTTTGTAATACTAATAAGTTTATATAATTCATCAAAGACTCTAAGTATAAATATTGTTTTTGGATTTCAATTTGTCTCTAATAATAACAGAAAGAGAATACATTTAATACGACAATAATTGCATTTACATATTTTAATTATTTTTAATTCATTAAATATTTTATTCATGATAAAAAATATAGTATAGACTATATTTTCTATAAAAAAAATCTCACGGAAACTGCTATAACGGATTCGCGGAGTATTATAATTTAGTAACTAAGCTTCTATTGATATTTAAATAATGATTATTGTAATGTGTTGCAATATAAAGCGATGATGGTCAACCATAAATGAAGGTATTACAATATGCAAATGGGACGAACAATGAATGTTATTTTATATCACAATTCACATTTATACACACACACATATATGTGTATATTATACATAAATAACAATCACGAGATACACAAACATTTAAAAAGTATAATTAATTTACTACTAATGATTCATTACCAAAATATTTATTTTATTAAATTTAAGTCAAAGTACAACTTATGATAAAAATAAGTAATCTTAACATTCTTAAGAAGTAGATAGATCCTTAATATGATAGTATTTCAATTGATAATATTTCATTACTTTGACACAATTCTATGTTTTGACAATAGCAGTATAATCACTAAGGTCCTTTGAATATGTCTATTTCACGTTACGTTATTAGAAAATTATCATTTCAGATTGTATATAAAATCTTATACAAATAAATACTATAATTTATTGGTTAGTGTAATTTATATAAAAAGCCACATATTATTGACAGACTACCTACAATAAATGTGCCCAAGTTTAAGATGATATAAGTAACTTGGTGTGAATACCGGCCTCGTCTAATTGAAAGAGGGTTCGCAATTATTGTGTGAGCCGTGGTTCGAACCCCTAGCAATGCCCTCAGACAAAACTCATATCCACCAGGCATGAATTGGTCTTCGGCCGCTCCGCCGTCCAATTGAAACGGGGATCGAAATTACGGACTGACTCGAGATTCAAACTCCTAACGGTGCCCTCAGAGTGAACTAGTATCGAGTTGGCTTTCAGCGGCTCCACACGTCCTTCCTTCGGTTTGTTGTGCCAACTGCACTCGCCCCCTATCGTTCGGTGAACTGCGGCCGACAGCATTAGAGCAGTCCGAAACAAAAAGGTTCGAGTACTGACCTTATCGTGCTTGGTGCGGGTGGAGTGCGTGGCGGCGGTGGGCGCGGCAGAGGGCGCGGGGGTGGGGGTGGGGGTGGGGGCGGCGGCGGCGGCGGGGAGGGGCGCGGGGGCGACGTAGTTCCCGGGGAACACGCCCCCGCGCTGCGACCTCTCCGACGTGCCCTTGTACCAGCCGTCGCGGCATCGCTCCGTCACCATGTACACGGCTGGAATCGTAAGCGATCATTATGTTTTATTTTCCAACCCAATGGATCCTAAAAGCATTTAAAAAGACATTGTTTAGTTATACTTGTACTTTAGTACACATTATTAACATAGTCAAATGGCTTTAGCACTAATAATTCACTTTACTAGCTGAATATGTCTGCTAGTGACCACCAACCCAGTCGAAACAATGAGAGCGTAGGTGTCAAGGATGGGTGGATGTTTGTTACTCATTCCGCAAAATTATTGGACGTATTTCAGCTGAAATTATTTACGCTATAAATTTTTATACAAATTCACACGAGCTAGGCCGTGGGATACAGCAACTCAAAAACTATGCATGCAGTCTAAATCATTGGTGATCACATACAGCTAAACGTGTACAATTAAAAAAAACAATTATGTTTGTCCTTAACAACTGGATAAGAACAAAAATAGAATTTTTATATAAGCAACTTTAAAATATTAAAAAATTAATAATCCTTTTTTCACATAGACACATAAAAAGATATAAACTTTTAACAAAAATTTCGGGAGGTTAGAATACAAAAAAAATTATTCAGTTATTTTAGAGAAAGAAATAAGATTATCTATTATTGAGAGAAAGTAAATATTAAGATTCATCTAACCTCCTTTCTTCAACTCGAGCTCGTCCGATTTTTGTGGTTTGTAAGGATAGAGAGCGATGTATGGAGCCGGCAACGGCCGCTCGTCGCTACGAGAGCGGCGCCGTCGTCTCTCCCGCTCTCTCTCAGGTCTATCTCGATCTCTCTCAGGCCTGTCTCGTTCCCTCTCAGGCCTGTCTCGATCCCGTTCAGGCTTGTCTCGTTCTCTCTCTGGCCTGGATCGTTCTCGCTCCGGTGCGTGGTCTAGTAAACTAGTGGCTAGGATTTCGGCTGAGTGCCTGTTGATACGATAGGGTATATATAGGCTATTATATACAATACAATGTGAGTACATTATATTATATATAATAGCAAAGAAGTTAATGATCCTTGTAACACAAGTTTCAAAATTGTGTGTTCGGTATTAAGTATTAAAAAAATGTTACCTTTCTATATAGTTTGGAGTTAACTTTTCTTATTATCTATCAAAAATTACGTATCGTAATATAAAAAGATATATGAAAATCACCAAAGGTATAAATCAAAATCAGTTTTCCGATTCGACATCAAAGAGATCATGTATATGTCTGAACTTGATTATTGTTATAAACTACGATAAAGTCACTCACCGATTTTGAGTGTGATTTCCCTGTAAATGTGAGGACGGAGTCAGACTGTGCCTCTTATCTCTATTGTGATGATGATCCCTGTGACTCCTCGGCACCATATAACCCCCGTCTTTTGCGTGTGACGGCGACAGCGCTGCCTGAAGTCCTAATCCAAACGTTAACAACGAATCCGGACCGCTCGACCGTAAAACGTTCTTCGACGACGAAGGCGTATCAAGTCTTGACGGCTCATTATTGATTGCAATCTCTTGACTCTCGCCTTGATTTTGCGATGAACTACTCGCAGCAGAAACATTCAATTTAGGACTCTCTGATGGTAAACTGACATTAAGTGATGTATTAGTAGCGGTAGAGCTCTCATTCAAGCTGAGCACTCCCATTGAAGTGTTCAGTGATTCTTGCTCGTTTGTTTCTTCTTGGTTGGAAGCTACCACTGTGGGGTTAGGTTCGGTGTTGTTATCGGGCGAACTCGGCAGACTGGGTTCGGCGCTTTCACACGAACTGGTATTAGGAGTGGTGGTCGAACTGACCCCGAGTGAAGGCGTGTTCATGCTGGAACTCGAGTCCGAACTGAGGTTATTGGCATTGAAGTTAGCCACCGAGACTGGAAAGTGTTCATGTGTCCGAACATTTTGATACGTCGTCTCCATTTTGGGCACCGGAGTGGCATTGTAACTGTCGTATTTGACTCTCAATCTGTCGTAACTCTCCGGTATTCGTGATACGCTTTGTAGGCCCATCGTACCTTGGTTTTTTATATGCATATTATTAAAATGGATTAGGTCTAACGTGTGTTTAGTTTGAGTAGGCTCAACTATATTTCTCGGTACCGCTGTTGTTGTAACCAGTCCTCCATGGGAGACGGTTATTTGCTGGTTCACGGGCTGAGGAATTAGGATTTGTGATGGTAAAGGCTGCCCATAGTTTGGATGTGATTGGCTCATAGTCGCCATATTCTGGTAATTTCCTTGTGCAGTTAATGGAGTAGACATTGACATTTGCTGGTAGCGATGTGAATGCTACAATAGAGAAAATTGATACAATAAGTAGTTTATTTGTGCATAAAGGATATCAATTGGTTGTTACACGGTGCTATTATGAAAAAGTTTTTTTTTACGACTTATCTGAGAATAATAAATTATTCATAAAAGGTTCTTAGAATTTGTATGCAAATATGTTCTATTTTCCAAATGTGTATATTTTCCAAAGTTATAGATAATAAGACACTTTGTGTTGCTTTTACATCCTACTACTACCTAGATGAACTAAATACCTAATAAAACCCACCTGTCTTGCTTTATAACATTATTGCACATAATAAAGAAATGAAAACGGATTAATTAAAAACAATGTGCTGTGATTTCTTTATGGACTATTTACTTTACCTGCGTATGATGTCGGTGGTCCGAGTGGCCAGCTCTAGTGTGCTCCGGCAGCGGCGGTACGGGACGATTCAATGGCGTGCTGAAATTTGATACACATCTTATTAATATTATATATGCGAAAGTTTGCGAGTATGAATGGACGTTTGTTTTTACGCAAAGCTACTGAATGGATTTTGATGAAACTTTATAGTACTATAGTTTATATATTAGAACAACAGATAGGCTATAAATTACATGTGGGTGCAACCGCGGGCTCAGCTAGTTTATTATAATTTCATAAAAGCTATTATTATATTGGAACCATTACCCCATACTACTCTTCTCATTGCGATAAAAAAATCTGATAAGTTAAGACCACAATTAACTTATTGGAAATACATTGGAATAAACATTTCTGTAATTCTACAACTCTACAAATCTCTCTTTTTCTAAATTTCTAATTTTCATTTTTTTATAGCAGTCCCTTTCGTTCCTTCAAACTTTCCATGGATATGTATGTTGTTAAATAAACCAATTGGCAGGTAAACATTAGAAGCAATCAAAAATCTTTTCAACAATTGCAATTAACATTTTTCTAAATACCTGTTCATGAGTTGCCTGGCCGGCTGGTTGAGTTCTACAAATGCTATAGGGAATATTCCGACGCGCTGCTCCAACTTGCCCTCGGCCCAGTTCTCGTCGACGCGACGATGCACCGTTATTATTGCACCTACAATGAGAATATGATAAATGATTAAAACGAAATATATTGAATTTAACTTTAACTTATAAAATAAAGGAAACCTAAGTTACTCCTTATGTAACCATCGGTCCAACCATTTCAAAGATTACCGGAACAAACACCAATTTTTGTCTGTCAGTCTGTCTAGAGACAGTGTCAGACAGACAAAAATTGTAAAAGAAAATATTTTGGTGTATGTACTGTATTTATATTTATATGTAGTAAAAACTACTACTTACATATAAATACAGACACTCCAATTTTATTTATACGTATAGATTAATAAGTACCTTTGTCAAAAGCAAGACAACCCTCCTCGTCAGGTGCAGACATGCGGAAGTCGTACAACGCTTTACATAGCGCTGTAGGAACGGGTAGTGGTATTACAACCTGAAATTATAGTTAAAGTATTAAATTACATATAGTTACATTAATTAACTTTGCATGCCAGTTTCTGTTGAAGCATGTTCCCAAGAAATCATGTTACATATCATATAAACGACCTTTGAACTAAAATAATCAGTAGTGGTGGTCAGGGGCCTCTTAAACCTAAAACCGGGATACAAGTCACACATTGTGACACAAGATTGCCATTGGGGTAGGCAAGATTTAAATGCTAAAAGACTCCTTGTCTTTTAGCATTTAACGGGTTTAAAGGTTGATGAATGTAGAGCAGACAACTTTTTACAGTCTACCTCTTGTATGCTGCTCTTAGAGTTAACACCTTAGAATTATTGTAAGATCTCACCTGGACATAAGTGATAGGAAACATTCCCGTCCTGCCTGATGATTCGCCCTGATACCAGAACGCGTCCAATTTCTTCTGCAATAGTATCGTCTCCCCTTTCTTGAACGAGAGGTCACTGCAATAGGTCATAAAATATTCAAAATTTATACATCCTACATGACATTGTAATGATACTTAAGAATATTTATTAAAAAAATAATTATTTAAGAAAAAGAATCGCGTTTTTTTATTTTCGTCATAAATGTTCGAATAGTTTCGGAACAAGTGTTAACTCAGTGAAAAATTAAAAAACAGGTGTAGCAGAAAATAAAAAGAAAAAAATAGAATTAATATACTTATCAAAATGGCTTCTCCGGCTTTTTAAACATCATTACTTATTGATCAACGTTCGACTTTCAAAAATTTGTTGGATATAATATCTTAACCGGCCTTTTCCACTTTGTCAAACCCAGTTCACGTAAAAAAAAGAGTCTAACGATGAAATACATACCCTGGCTCCTTTGATATAAAGTCGTATATAGCGCGACCGTGTGGAGGAAGTTGCTTGCCGTCAGTGCGGGCCACTTGACCACCTTGCTGAATTTGAGTCTGAAGTCGTGCAAAAAAACATTTCATGTGATAAATATATAGAAACTTCTTTGTAGAATAAACTTTTCTTCCTTGTTTCTTCTTTTTTTCCTTGTAAAGAATAAACTCCACAAATTAACTATTTTTTAACAATCTTCATTCAAACCTACATCATTATGGAGTATTACTCACATATTGAAAAATATATATGAAGAAAACTGTATAATATAGCTTATATTATAAAGTTTTATTTATCTTTATTAGATAGAAGCCAGCGCAGCTGTTCAGCAAAAACATGTAAGTACCATGTTCTATGTAGGTATACTTCTATGTAGGTTCTACTACATAGTATATTCCTATATTTACCTCTATTTATATTATTACACACTTAACATTGTTTATTGAACGTTATACCAGGAGTTAATATTGACACCACTAAACATATGGTATATGATACCCTCATTGTATGTACATACACTATCATGCTTTTGTACCTACATTTAGTTGGACATATTCACCTGCAAAAGTACAGCTCGACTATTTTTTTTTATATTTTCCCTATAGTTCATATTGACGCTTCCAAACATATGATATACAATGATAGCATTATTGTATCTACATACATTATCATCATGATTATACCCGCAAGATTACAGCTCACATAGTTTTTTTTTTTTTTCAATATATTTCCTGGACTTCGTGTTGACGCCACTAAACAAATGGTGTAAAAATTATGATGGCATCATTGTATGTTCATACATTATCAGCATGCTTTTATACTCCTACATTTAATTTTATGTACTGCAAATGTACAGCCCGAATAGTTTTTTTTTTATATTTTCCCTATAGTTCATATCGACACTACTAAAACACATGTGTAAGATAATTATAGCATCTTTGTATGTACATACAGTATCATTTGACGACCTCGGTGGTCTAGCGGTCTAGCATACCGCTTTATGACCGATGGTCGCGGGTTCGATTCCTCGCACGGCACAATCATTTGTATTCATGAGTATGATTGTTTGTAACGGTCTGGGTATTTTCTATGTATAATATGTATGTATTTACAAAAAAAAAAAATATCTATGTATATGTATCAGTTATCTAGTACCCATAACACAAGCTTTAGATAGATGGCGCTGTGTGAATTCTCCTGATATTATTATTATTATCATTATTTATTTTTTCTCAGCTTTTGCTGGTTTTCTCCACACTTACGGGCCGAAACCAAGTAAGTGCAGAGTGTGTGTATGTGTGTATGTATATGTATTATTATTATTATAATACTACCTTCTATTATTTGACATATTCACCTGCAAATGTCCAGCTCGCTGACCCCGCTGGCTGGGACCACTCTTCCGGGGCGCATTCTTCATGCCCTCGAGGATCCTCATGAGGAGCACGTTGGGCGGTAGCTCCTCCACCTTCACGTCGACCAGGATTCTGCATTCCGGACATCTTAGCTCTTTGTGCGACTCTACTATGACCTGGAAAGAAATACAACCGAATTTTTAATAAATAAATGTAGGTACTTCCTTATAAACTATATAATATTGTAATATTACAAAGACGTAACAGTTGTAAGTTGGATGTTCATGGTAACGATATTGCAAAAATTTTAGTAGCTTTTCTCAATTATTATTTAGCTCATCAGGGGTAAATTCTATTTGAAAAAAACTATAGGATTATACTGTCCGTCAATGTGTTAATAAAGTTTTGTAAATTATTAATTATTAATTGGGTTGTTGATGTAACAGATTGTGCACCGCTGTTTTAAGGTAAAAATAACATTAACTATAGTAATTCAATAAATTACTAATATTCCACACATATACTGACACATTAATTTTACATGCCTCATGAGGTAAACTATAATAGGATCTGATATTATGTTAATTATAGCTGTAGTAATTTATGTAGGTTATTAAACTCCCGTAATTAAATCTGTTTCTGTTTCTGTTAAATCTGACCTAATGATCTACTGCTTTGTACAATAATAACTTCATGTATCTAAAGCTGCAGTAGCAGGCTACTACCAGATTTGGCACTGCGTTTAATAATAACTTCATGTATCTAAAGCTGCACTTCTACCAGATTTGGGTGGGAAGGGGGAGAGACAAGAGCGGTGAAGGTGAGTGTTGATGTACATCGGTATGGGGGCCCCTTAAACCTACACCCATATTAAAAATCCCGGGAACTGCTCGGAGTCCCCTCTCTGCCATGCGATGTACCCAGCTCCCGGACGGTGAATCCATAGAATGCTAAGTTCGTCTCTCTCAATTGTAACTGTTGGGGTATTCGCCTGCGCTGACGATATACTTTGACTAAGATGATAGGATGTGAATGACGTCAGGTCAAGTGACGGATTCAACAGGAATTAGGCACTATGGTTCCCAGTGCGAGGGATGAGGGGGATGAGGAGGGGGCTAGGGGGTGTTATAAACCCCCCAGTAGATTGTTAGCGATGTGGCCGCTAATCCCCATTAAGTCTGATTGTATGTGCGTTTATCTCAGAAATGGTCTAACCCATTTAGGTGCGGGTGTGACTAATATATTGCGGTAAGATTCATGATAAAATAGGTTCAATCCAAAACAATCGACTATAAACAAAAAAGTGAGTTATAAATTATTATTATTTCGAATACCATGGTTTTACTAGTATAGAACCTATACTATTAAAACCGTGGTATCTATCTATACTATAGATATAAGATTTTATAATAAATATACAATACAATTTATACTGAATATCTAATATATTGGGGTGGTTCCCCGCAATTCTGAAACCGTTAGAAGTGGCGCAGAGATTCACATTTAGATAAAATATATCAGTCCTCAATCGTCAACTTTATACAATTCTCTGACTATAAACAAAAAACGAAAATCGTGAGTTATAAATTATTATTTTTTTCCCTTTTTGGGAATTTGTACAACAATATTAACAAGAAGCTTCATATATATCCTAAAAGCAAAATAAAATGCAAAAAATTGTTATTAAAGTGGTTATTAACCCTATCGTATGAGGATACCGAAGGTTTGTTGTCTGTTCTGGGGTGATAGATTAAGCTAATCTTATATATTTGTTTGATTTGTTACTTTGGTGGGATGGACAAGAGATTTTCGGTAGTATCTAAATTCCTTACACACACTCACAGTCATTTCACACACACACACACACACACACACACACACACACACACACATACACACATATCATTAACTATATTATATACCGCAACTAGCGACACATTATACAACTTTACCTCACAAAAACATTTATTAGATTTAGTAAATACCAGATTTTATAATAAATATACACAAGGAATACAATTTAAATACATACTTTTGTTACTTTGTCAATATCTTAAAGATTATTATTATTATTATTATTATCTTCTAATATATAAAATTCTCGTGTAACTGTCTTTCACTTTAACCAATTTATATTTTTTTGTATATTTCGACATTACATACATACTTACAATCCGTTTTTCATTTCATTCATAATTTCCATCCTTCTACCATCAATCCCCATTTCTAATACCGAATTTAAATTATATGGCAAAATGACGTTTCCCGAGTCAGCTACTACTAATATATAGAATAAACAACAAAACCAAAATGAGATTGCTAGAGAACACAGAGTTCTCAATTTTAAACAAATTTTATGAATAAATAAAAACCTTTTTACTGTTTATTTTCTACTACCCGCCCCGGATCCGTGTGTACATGTATTATACATATACCTAAACCTTCCTCTTGGGGGGAAAGGGGATTGTTTGTAATGTGGATTGATTATCTTATTTCCAGCAATGTACTATGTCAGGTTGACCTCCACGCGGTTCCTCCTGGAAACTGTGAATTTGTCACGATGGGCTAACTGACCTGACCTGATGCTCATCTTATCATCCTCCACTGGTGCCCCGCCAGCGTAAACCGTTAGCGCAGGAGGGTGCACCATTCCATTATCATCAAAAAAAAACCTTCCTCTTGAATCACTCTACCTATTGCTAAAAACAGCTTTAAAATCCGTTGCGTAGTTGATACTCTAAGCGAACATACAGCGAAAGCGACTTCATTTTATACTATGTAAAGATTTACATTACCCATAATTTCATCACGTTATCACATTATGATGTATATTAATGTGGTACTAATTTTAACACATTGTATCGATAACATCTTTATAAAGACATGTAATTCACATGGACACGATAATGTGCATCACGTGTTTTATAACTAGATGACTAATGCTAGTGAATGCATGTCTGTATTATAAAAAAATTATTCAATGTTAGGGATGGTCCATATTGTTCAATGTGTTAAGTCTTCAATATCATCTGTATGTCGGTCAGCGTATAAAAACTACATATGTGCGGTTAAAAAAACTAAAAGTTTATATTTTATTATAAATATCGAATGTCGATGTTTCTAAACTATTAGACATTAGATACTATTAGATACCCTACTAGAGCCACAAAAATCCAGAACACCCATAAGGAACATCGTTGATCGATATTAGACAAACATCGACGTCTTATTCGATATTTATATTAACATACATTCTTATGTATGTTATTATAAATTTAATTTTTATTTAAACTCTTACAAAACACACAGAATTACACTTATACAAATTTAGAAAATACATAGATCGATAGAAATATGTTACTTACATCAATATTTCTCTATCGTACATCCCTATTCAATATTTTATTTTTACATTCATGTTTTTATTAGAGACAGTAATAATAACAACATGTGTCATATGAAAGAGGCAAATGACTATTTTTAATCACATAAGGGAACACTAATTTCATACCCAAGGGCAGTGAGTGAGTGAGTATGCGGTATGCGATATTTTTAGGGTTTTGAATCAAAAAGGTAAAGACCGCTTGTGCTGGTTACGTACACTAATTTCGACCTGACATTTTGAAGTGATATATACATTACTAGCTTTTGCCCGCGGCTTTGCTCGCGGTAATTTATCCCCTTAGGGGTGGAATTTATCAAAATCTTTTTGCCTAATGCCTACGTAATAGTAGCTTTACGCATGCAAAGTCTCAGCCCGATCGGTTTAAAATTTACAAAGATTCATACAAACATTCATCCCCTATTTTATCAAAAGATAAGAATTAATAAGAAATAGTCAAAATCCTTTCTTAGTGGATGCCTACGTCATAACATCTACCTGCATGCCAAATTTCAGCCGGATCCGTCCCGTGGTTTGGGCTGTGCTTTAATAGATCACTATGTCAGTCACCTTTGAGTTATATATATTTAGATATCACTTCAAAATGTTAATAACTATATATTATATATATACATAAATAAATTTGTATTCATAAGTACAATTGTTTGTATCGGTCTGGGTATTTTCTATGTATATTATGTAGGTATTTATAAAAAAATATGTAAATATATCAATTGTCTAGTACATCTGTGTTAGCAGTTGTCTAGTGACCTGTGTTATTGTCCAGGGTTATGTGCTTCTTTTTATTTAGTACTTTACTTATATTATGATCGATTTTTATCGATCACAATATAAGTAAAGTTGTGGTTTGCCGATATTTCACCGTAGAATCTGTTAAAGACATGTAGTTAGTTATACTGTGTATATCGATATATACATATGTATAAATAAAAATAAGAATTTTTAGATAGACAGATAGAGTAAGAACTCTAACTGAATAATCAACATATACTTTCAATTAAGAAAAATAAATACTGCAAGAAAGTTTAATGTTTGTTGGTAACACTTCACTGTACTATAAATCTTAAGGCTACAGAGATAAAGTTGTTAGGAAATGAATTAGTACAATACAATGGCGGACTTATCCCAATAGAGGAGGATTACTTCTAGTCAATATTTGGATGACAGAGGATTTGTGGATTAACAATAATAATAACAATATCTCAGGACGATTCACACGGCGCTAACTAGTCCCAAGCTAAGTAGAACTTGTGTTACTGGACAACTGATATAAAAACGTAAATACTTTTCTTTTTGTAAATAGGTACATATAAAACAACCAGACCGGTACAAACAATCATACTGATGAACAACATTTGTAATGTTTGTACCGCGTGAGGAATCGAACCTACGACGTTGTATTAAACTAAACAAACGCGGCCGTCATTGATGGAGACAAAGCTGTGTGAGATTTACTATGTAGATATAACTATAAAAGACTGTATTTAAAAAACAAAAAACGGTCACACTCTACGCCTATTTTTAATTGCGCACCGCTATCAGAAATTTCAAACTATCAAACAAATATAGATTAAAAAATATATAGTAGAAATAATTTTAGAGCATATTCAATGTAACAAGGTTAGCCAAGTTACAAACAAATATAGGAATTTGAAATTTAATCTTCACAATCGTTGTGGTTAATTGTATAATTAATTTGGCCTACGTAATGCGACGAACGCCTTTAATTGGAGTTAACGAGAATATTAGTAACGTCTGTGGCGAGCTGTATAT